CTATAGCCTCTTCCATCCCGGCACCAAAGAGGGACGAATGAGTGTTCCGTCGAACCTTTTCGTCTCGGAAAACAGTGCAGTCCAGGAGTCGAGCTTTCTGTCCACACAAGACGTTTCGAAGCCCGTGAACGACCTCCAATTCGTTTTCTCGTCCTCGCATGGCACCTCGGGAATTCAAACCAGAGAATCCGTTGACATGCTCATCGCAGAGCTTCCGGACGGTACCTGCCCTGACCACCTGAGGACGTGGACGTTCAAGGAAGGAGACGATACTGTGAAAGAGGACGATGCTGTGTAGGGCGGAAGGGAAAGCATAGGAGAGAACATAGCTCAGTCAATGACATTCGTTCATGGGCCAGATGCTTTCGGACAAATTGTAGATCGTTGCTCCGACCTAGACGACGGGAGTTAGGTTACATACACAAATGCCAAGATCCATTCCATGGTCAATTCTCAAGTGCAAGTGGTTTTGTGTCTTTTGCGAAAGCTAGTGTATTCTCTTTGTCCCCGCATCGGCTGCATGCACAAGCTCTACGTAGATAGCAACGACGTATACGGTCCGCAGTTAGAAGCAGAAACTGAATCGTTGTTTGAGATATGGAATGCATGTCAAGACCAGTATATGACTGGTAGAAATGTTAGAGCACGTGATTAAGTCACACGGCTCTTGCGAAGACAGCCAACACATAACACAGACGCCCCGATATTTCCTGTCTCAGATATAGGAGTTGATTCTGTGGTGCATTAAGGTAGGAGTAAGGGAACGGCTAAGTTTAGGGGTTTGTCTTACAGTGGATAAATTTGCGATTGCGAGATAGACTAGGGGACAAACATGGTGAAATGCAGAAGGGCCCGAATTCCAATTGTTGCACTATCTAGCTAAGGAAAAAGGAAAGGTTCAGGACCAGGAAAGAGAAGAAACATTCGACACAACGATCCAGGCAACCAAGCGTCGACCTATGCCCTAAGATCATCGGGCTTCATCGCGGAAATGAGACGCGCTTAACCAGCTCCTCCGTCACTTGGCCGCTTTCTTCGCGCCGCGCTTGGTCTTTGTCACCTCCAGCGGATCGTGAGGCGTGGGGCTGCGCTCTTCTCTCTTACGATCACCCCTCTTCCACTCTTCATGACGATCCCAAGAGATGATGGCAGCTGCGAAGATGGCCAGATCGGCGGCTGGCATAACCGTACCCTTCGCGAGAATGACTCGGTCCCCGATCGTATAGTCTCGGACAGCGGCCATTGGCTTCATGCCGAAAACCGACCTGACTGTGGACCGCGTCTCGAACGTTTTCTGGTTGTTTCCATTCAACCACTTTACCTTAACTACGGTATGCGGGAGGGGTTTCCTTCGCTCCTTTCCCCTCGCACCTCTTCCATCGGCGTGCGCGTCGTCTTTCGTCTTCGCCTCTAGATATTTGGGATCCAGCAACCTGATCGGGTCCTCATGGCCCTCCGGAATGACCCACGCGACACCTTGAATGGCGATTCTGAGTCTCCCGTCTTGCTTTTCGGAGCGTATCTGGTTCGGGTCGCGCCTTTCGTCGTTTAGACACTTCTGGCCAAGGACCCCGTAAGACGGCAAGAGCTCTAGCTTCTCGGCGTTAGGTGGTCCGCGGCCGACGACATCGTGGTATCGATTGAATCCGCGCCCCCGGAGATAGCCGTATTTGGTGACGTCTCCTTCCTCGTCATCCGCAGCACGGTGCCCAAAATTGTCAGACGTTACTAGGTCGCACGGATCGTCAAGCGGATCGTCTGTGACGATGATGGGCACAGCCGTTCGAGAGACGAAGAGAGCTTCGTCTTCTGCTTCACTCGGCGCATCTTCTTCCCATTCGGGGTCTTCATCAACCGGCATGGCCTCTCCAGGCTCTTGTTTTACCGCACTCAACTCGGCCTCAAGCTCGTCTGCACGTGCCTTCAGGGCCCA